ATCGAGTATGTGATGCTACTCCAATTTGGCTGCATCTGTCTTATTCTTCTCCTTGTATTGATGTTTTTTTTCTTCTACTCTTTTTAGTTTTTACAGTTGAAATCTAAGGCTAGTCCTCATATTGAATCAAGGCTCAAAACACTAAAGAAGCACTGTGATGCAATAATAGATCCCTGGACGTGTATGAGATTAGTGAAAAAACTATTATATTGGAATTTGATTGTTATGTTTTTGTTTATTCTAGAATTTGAACAAGTAATGTTATGTTGGTTTGGATTAATATGAAATCTTGTTTTGAACAAGTAATGTTATGTTTGTTTGGATTAATATGAAATATGTAGTTACATTTTCAAAGTAATTGTTTTATTCAGATATATGCCAAACAACTATATTTCATTCAGTATTAAATCATACAGAGGGTTAAAATGGTAATTTGTTGTCATTCAAAGAACATTTACCAAATAACCATATTTCATTCAGCACTTAACCATTCTGACCCTCTTAACCATTCTGCACAAAACCATTCAGCAACTGCCAAACAGCCCCTTACCCGGTAACCAGTAGCAAAGCAAACAACCAGATTTGCAGGAGAACAAATTTCATAACTCTACATTACTACATATGACAAAAACATGGCAGAGAGGGTGACAAGAACATGGCAGAGATGAAACCTTCGAAACAACAAAGACGGACCCCTAAACGAAGACCAAATCAAGCCAAAAACCACAATCCTAAAACAAGGTATCATCAGACAACGTCGTGACTACAAGGCGACAACCATAGAAAAATTAGCCAATCACCACACCGCTCATAAGGTTCCATGCTAAAAACATTCAACTTGAGATACTAATTTGTAACCTAAACTTGTAGAAGCCGAAAGAGATTCCAATAGCGGTTTCTCATCAAGGATTCAAAAATTCATACAAGAAAAACTATAAACAAATCTGCCAATAAGCACAGGTATTATCAAAATCCCAGATAAACTAAAACTTAAGTGCATCTCTTTTTAAGCTAGTAATCAAAATTTAAGCTTGGTTCTGCGCCAGTGTCTGCGCTTGGCATTGTACCTGAACAAATTAAAATCATGTCAATAGAGACCTAAAAAAAGAAACCAAAAACATACACAAGTGTAAAAATAGTTTTGACCTGATTTTGTTACCAGTCTTCATGCGAATCCAATTGGGAATGGGCTTGTTCTGCCTCCTCTTCTTAGCAAGCTTCTTCTTGATCATGAAAGTCTTGTGTGCAGGCTGAATAAAATAAAAACATTTAAAGCAAGAGATTAACCACTTTTTGTATAATTCCAGATGAATTGCAAATTAGAACAATGTCTATTCCATACAATCTATAAACCGCCATAGATATAGACCTTCATCAGTGCAATAAGGCTTTCAAAATGGACATCTCAAACCATCAAGATCGATAAACAAAAGTGAATTGAGGTGAGATATGGTATAAACCAAAGAACTAAGCATGGTCACCTTATCAAGGTTGGGGATCATGTTCCAAAACCACAAATCAAACCATAAGCACATGAAATTTGATCCAAAGAATTAAGCACGATCACACATATCAGGGATGGGAATCATGTTTCAAAACAAAACACCATTTGCACATGCAATTTGATCCAAAGAACTAAGCATGGTCGGGATATCAGGGGTAAGGATCATGTTTTCAAACCACAAATCAACACATGCAGATGTCACGACCTACACAATCTACAATTTTTCATTATCATAAACAAATCTACAGAATATGTTCTCAATAACAGCTTTGAAGATCTTATATGAAACAATTTTGATAACTTGCATCCAATCAAAAGCCATTATATGTCCAAAATGCTATTTAAAAACACCTTCTATATCCTAAAACAAACTCGCTTCGTAGGATGGAATTAGTACATTAATGTAACTCGATTGTGAGTATATGGATTTAGCAATTAATCACTTAAAAACCTAAAAGAACCAATCACGAACAACAAAATTCTAAAAATCCATATCAGCTTCAGCGATTAATCACTTTTATGAACCATAAAGTAGGAATTCTCAAAGCCAAATAGCCTTTTGACTCGTTCTAAGAGAAGAAATACATTAAGGGTTTGTAATTTATAGGAAAAAAATCCAACATTAAACATAATGAACAGAGATAGATTACCATGGCGGAGATCCTGATTCTCCCACTTGTTCCTGTTCCTGTTCCTTCTCTGGTGCTCAGACGGCAAAAGATGATCAAGCTTTGCCATGGCTTGGCTATGGGTTTATACAGTAGTAGTCTAAGATGATAACTATGGAAAATATCCTAATCATAAGCTAATTAGGAAACTAACTAATAACATAATTAAGATAACTATTAAGGAAATATTGATGCTGAGAAAAGAAAACCGGATTCGTCTCGCCACACGATTTTAGCCGTGTGGGAAGCCACGGGCATTGCCGATCGAACAGGGAGTTACGCGGGTTTGGCCGCGTGGTTATCGGTGGGAACCACTATTTCCGTCTCCAATGGCGTGCATGTGACGACTTAGGTCGCGAGGAAGGTTGCAGGAGCTTCTGTTTGTGCTTTTTCTTCCGTTTTCTTCGATTATTATCATCGTCCTCTCTATATCAGGTATAGAGGTCATTCTATGTAAGGGCAACTCCAATCTTCACAACAAAAAAAACACCAAATATGGTGGGCCCATAAACACTAAAAAAAAAATTCAACTCCAATCATACTCTAAAAAAAATCATCAAATTTGTGGACCCCACATCAAAATAACCCAATCAACCCCTAAATTATTAAATAAAAAATGGTTTTTAATACAAATTAATGGGTCCCACTGGTTTTGCCGTTCAAGAAACCCACGACATATTTGCCGTTCAAATAAGGGATCCGGCAAAACCTAAATTCATTTGTCGGTCGATTGGAGAAGTCACAAACGACAAATCCCTAAAATTGTCTGTTGATTGGAGATGCCCTAAGATTTCAGTGCAAATTACACACACATACACACACACACACACACACACACATATATATATATATAGGGAAGGGTTCAAACGAGAACCCCTGTGATTYACGAAAACGCGAGAACAACTCAATAACCACATATTGTGATAAAAAATAAAATTAAAAGATTTTTAAAATTAAAATTAAAATTTAAAAAGATTCAAAAAAAATTAAAATTAAAAGGGTAATAATGGAAATGATATATTATCWAGAAAAYRGTTAGAATMTTTTAAACTTATCATTAAACACAATCAAAATCTTTTAAACTTATCATTATCATCTACAAAATGGTTACGATTACAAGTCTAACTTCAAATCACAAGAACTACGGACGGCGACGGTGTTGATCGACGGTGACCAACCAAGAACACACAACCGTAATCGACCAAKAACCYTAATCGAGAAGCCATTGCATGCAACAAGCAACCCTAATCATGTGATAATCATGTGATATGGGTGTGATAATCATGTGATAGGGGTGTGATAATCACCGTT